ATTGACCACGGCCGACTCATATGCCTTGGATCGAATCTCGCTCGTACTCTTTTCGACGGCCTGAGAGGCTTCTTGCTGGTGAGTTGTGGGGTGCAGATAGGGAGACTCGGTGAAAGAAGCATCGAGCTTCTCAATGGTGGCGTGGCTGGACGGGGCAGATGCAATCTCCTTTGGGCAGCCCACAAAAATGTAGTAGGGAATTCCGCCAAGAGCGTAGTTTCGCTCGCTTGCCGAGATGACTGTTCCGAACTTGTACTCCAAGTAGTCGCGACGAGCCGCTTCCAAATTCACGCGATCAAAGTCAAACCAGGCACGCCAAAAAGCTCGGCTCAGCCAGTTCACGTGACGGTTGAAGGCACCGCCAGTGTAATTTCGACAAGAGACGTCGACGATATTTTGGACTACGCCGCAGGTCAAAATTCAAGTCCAGCTTTGCTTTTGTTTTTGGTATCGGTGGAGTAAGACTGACCATAGAAATCGCAGACACCAAGCAGACCAGTTGGCTTCAATCGAGACGTCAATGAATCGACAACGCTGTAGTAGTCTTCGAGATGTGAGCCGTGATGTTGCGGGACACGAATCGAATGTTCTTGAACATCTTTGTGAAGCATCTACTGACCAGGAATCATTGACAAACTGTAGCTCATTGTCATCAGGTCGGCACGGTCTGTCTTGGCGCTGTTGGACGATTTGGGATCCACCTGTCTCTCGGGCAGGCGGAAGGATCGAGCATCCTGGCATAGGACAGTGACATTCTTCCAACCTAGACGCTCGAAACGCTGGCGAGCCACCTCGCAGAGGGAGGGCGAAAGATCGACGAGGTAGACCTGATCAAAAAATTTGTCCACAGGAAGATAAGCAGACATGGCCTCGATGTTATATCTGTTTGCATTCTGATCAGTTACGAGTCGCGAAGTCGCTATCGAGCGTCTGAAGCGAATTGAGCCTACCCAGTACCACCACCAACCTATATGAGGAAACTCGTGTCAGTCATATTCCTTTGACGTCCGTTACGAGGTGGGACACGAGGCCCAGTCAAGTCACGTACATCTACCCAAACTGCTTTGCCGGCCTCGATATCTCTGTTCTCCACCTTGTACTTCAATTGAGCGGCGACCAGACCCAACATGTCTTCCCGGCCTCGGAGCAGTCGATGACGGGTCGCATCGTACACGGAAGCCTGTCGATCAATTCGGCCCATTGTCAGCCACTAGTCTTTTTTTTTATCCATTGAGCATCCCCAAGCAAGCCGGGTCCGGGAGACTTGTCCGTACCTGAGCCTTGTAGAAACTTTCCAGGGCACCTTGCTGGCCCTCTGCACTTCGATCATGCGGTTTGAGAAAGCTCGCCCAGAAGAACTTGACGTACGAAAGAGCTTCATGGTCAAAGTCGAGCTTGACCTTTTGGGATGAAATAAGGAGCACGAGGCCAATGAGACCAAAGACCAAGAAGGCCGTGCCGACAATGTAGATGTGTATCCAGTCCATTGCAGTTGCGCCTCCAAACGTCGGGACGAGGGAAGTCAAGAGACTGCGTGTGGGTTTTGGGGAGGGGGGGGCGTGAGGAGCGAGAGAAGGTGCGGACGAGGCTGTCGACCAGATCACACAAGGGAGCAATTCATATACTCTTTGTATGAGCCTCGTCCACGCATCTTCAAATGACCGGGAGCGGGCCTCATGGTGAGGGGCATGCAACACGGATATCCTATCACCCCAACACATGGGTGGGGATGGGGTGAAACTTCACGATAAGGGCATTCTCGGATAGGAAAGGCCTTGAACACAGACACGAGGTGGAACAACTGCAGACATGAGTCGATCCCTCGCAGTAAGTGACGGGGGCAAGGGCAGCGGGTGGTACCGTGTACACGACCGGTGGTCAGTCGAGGTTCCACTCGAGGTGCCAGCCGCTGGCTCACAGGCCTGGATGCTGGGGGCGGATCAGTGGAGACGAATGTAGTAGCTACATGATCTATCCCGCTTTGATCGGGCGACAACGCACCTGCTTCGATGGATTTGAAGCGAGCCACACTTGGACCACCTGCAGCATCATGGCTCTAGTGGACATTTGAATCGTTGAGAGATGTACAGAGCGGTACGAGCCACGCCCGGGACCCAATCTCAATGAGGCTTGCCTCCACTTCAGGGCTGCGGAATGCAATTCTTTGCAGTGCATGTCAGTGCCGCGAGAATGGACATCTTCCGTCGCTGTCACGGGTGCTTCGTGCATTATTACTCACTCCAATTGGTCTCAGAATGGATGGTCAGCCTGTGTGGTGACCGATATCGTACGAGTACTTGAGATGCAGCACCACTGGTTCGATGAGGCGCTTCGTCGATGCTTCGTCGCCGGTCATGTTAGTGAAAATGGACGACGGCCTTCAATGGCGAGGATCGACTCGACGATTCGTCATCCAGCTTGCCCTCAAGAGTCACAGTAGCCGATAATCGCTCATGATGGTGGGGTGGAATAGCCTGACTCCCAGACAATCATTGCTGACTGTGTGGGACGAGCTCGATCAGAATACGGCGAAATGGAGATTGACCCGTGCTCCTCAACTTTAAGAGCAATTAGCTTCCTCTTGCAGTGGACCCGCCACGCAGGAACCATTCACAGCTCGGCCCATCGGCATGTGCTGGCCGTTTTTTCCGAGGATCGCTCGATCGCCGCGACCAAAACGGGTGACATGGTGACATGTTGACATTGGGTACATCAGCCGTGAGCGGTCGACAGCGAACATTGTGAACAAGTCCCAACAAAGTAAAAGGATGATACAAGACGATGATTGACAGAGTAAGAGATGCGTCTGAGTTGGGTGGAGCGGCAATCGTCCGGGCGGAGCCGTCGTGGCCCTTCAAGTCCGCTCGTGGGGGGATTCGCGATTTCTGATTGGTTCAAAGCAAAAGAAGACTCCACAGAGAGGGAGATGACCAGCAGCTCCAATCAGATCATTCAGACTCGTCACATTGGGGCTGCCCCGGATTTGACGGGCCCGTGCAGAGGAGCCCCCGACTGCTCGATCAGGTCGCTGCAGCACTCGCATAACATGCCCTCAAGATCATCCGACTGGAAAGGCTCACAGATGCTCGTCGAGATTCGGTCAAAATGCAAAGAGAGACTCGGATGACATGCAAACAGAGACCGCCACCTCGGTTTGGTTCCGCTGTGTCGACTCAATTTGGATATCGGGCAGATGGTCCCGCACGCGGGGATCAACGCATAGGTACTAGGCTGTGCACGACGGGAGTCGAGGCCACAGAACAATTTTGACCCCACGGAGGGACCTGACACCACGGAGGGACCTAGTTGCGGGTGGGCAAGTAAGATGTCCTAAGGATGTTGGATGAGCTCCTGCTCTGAGGGGGGTTCTCTCCTTCTGTGTTTCTGTCCTCTCACCGAAACACACATCCATGTCAGTCGAGGGCCCTGTGAGTTGATGGAAATCACCCCTCCATGGACCAGAAGAATTATCAGCAGGCTTACCTTGGAGTTCACTGACACATCGCTGGAAAAGGCCCTTCTGAGGAGTGAGGACGGACCTCCTGCATTGCGTCCATGTCGCATGGCTCGGGTAGGAGGAAAAAGAAGTATATGTTCTGGTGTTTCTCGTTGTTCTGGCCCTTCCAAATAAGGTGAAGAACCGATTTTGAAGAAGATTGTTCTAGTTCTCATGAGACAGTGGGCCGAATCATCGTCTCTGAGTGTTGCAAGCTTCTTAGTCCGAAGTTCCGAACATGCTCCAGCATTGTGTCTGCCCTTGATGGTCTTTTGCTCTCCGTGGTCGACGTGTTTCGAAGAAGGAAGAATGAACTGACATTCCGAGGCAAGCAGGCATCCAATCGACTGATCAAAGGTGATCAAGCAGGCTTTCGACACCGTTAGTCTGTCATACCTTGCTTGAGGGACGTTATGGTCATGACCAGCGACGAAAGAGAAAGACTCGGTGAAGTGGCCCTCCATGAATGCATGAACGGGCCAGGGTTCTCATTTCCTCTCAATTGCTCGAAACTGCGGACCGAGGAAACACACTGGCACCCTCGCACACAGTTACTCGGTCCTTGCAGACAAGCCACGCAGTAGCCGAAGACATCACGATGGTGTGCTCCCACGGATGAACGCGTGAAGACTGCCTCGCGAAAGCTTAGTCTGCGTGAAACTCATGTGCTCGCCGCCACCGGTCAAGCCCTTTGGGAAATCCAATGTGAAGCTGCCTCTCCCATGACTCTACTCATGACATGATCTGCAGCTGCTTTCTCCATCTCAAGCGCGTTGTATCGTATCTGCATTGTGATTTTCAGTGCGAGTACTAGCCCCGAGGATTCAAGGGCGTTGCCGGTGGACGGTACAGAATCGGTGAACTTCTTTCATCTCGCCGGGATGAATCCACACTCAACCTCCAGACAGCCGCCCGTGGGTCACAAAGCAAAACCCTCCTCAAGCGAAGCTGGATATGTCAGTGGGCCCATCTCTTGTCTGGTCCGAGGTATCGAGCAAGAAGAGATGCAAAAAGAAAAGCTGTGAAGCTCATCCAAATGGTCCCAGAGGGGGTCGAACCCTCGACTTTGGCGTTACATAAGCGTATTAGCACCACACTCTAACCAACTGAGTTATGGAACCCGTTTCTTGTTGTGAAAACGAGGCGGAATTTGGATCCATAACCCGTGTCGCAACTCCGTACCTGGGTTAGCGTCTAAATGGACGTCACGAGCTCTAAGTCGAAAATTTAGTGGCTCATTGAGACTGTGAGATAAACGATTAAGCTAATAGATTCTCTTGTCCTTCTTCTTATCTCACTCAATGTTGAACCGTTCGTACTATCGATCTGACTGTGTGGCCAGTTCACATATTTCTTGATGTTCAACGACGTCACGGCGAAAGGGATCCACTCTTAGGGCAATAGCGGCTAGGGCACGTCCTGGCTTGAGGCAAGAGTGGGGACCGCCCGCTCGAAATATAACGTTGAGTCATGATGTCAAATTTCTCACCAGCAACAAGAAACGGGTTCCATAACTCAGTTGGTTAGAGTGTGGTGCTAATACGCTTATGTAACGCCAAAGTCGAGGGTTCGACCCCCTCTGGGACCATGACTTTTTGCTCAATTGATTGTTTTAATAATGCTTGCGAAGGCTGTCATCTGCTTCTTTTTTTTGGTACCGACGAGAATCGATGCCAAGGATTTGTGGTATATCGCGGCATGTTGCTCCCGCCATGGCAGATTTCGTTCCGCCCGTGAGCGGGAGGGTTTGCACTTTGGAGTGCACAGACCGCTCGCTGTACTGTCTTGGTCATTACGCCGTATGCGCTACATACATACGGTGAATCGTGATCATGTGATTAGTACTCGGTGTATCAGTATTGTAAGGTGGCCGTACCAGTGGTTTATTAAATTAATGTAGTATGAATTATGAAATACATTCGTGCAACACCTTCTGTACCGGACCGGCGGACATGCCCATTGGATCCTCGATCAAAGTACATCCACGCTATAGTACTTCAGTAGCCCGTGTTGCCGAAGAACATAAGCAAGATGAGTAGGACTCGAGCTTAAGAGCACACGTGAATCCGGGCTTTTCAACTCAAAAAGTGAAAAAGAAAACAAGACAAACCATGGAACATATTGACCGTGATGAAGATCTTTTTGGAACAGGTCCTGTAAAAAGGAAAAAGAGTGGTCCCAGAGGGGGTCGAACCCTCGACTTTGGCGTTTCCGAGTTTTGAAGTCGTATTAGCACCACACTCTAACCAACTGAGTTATGGAACCTTTTTGACGAAGACAGGCAAATCATGTTATATGACTTTTTTTCCCAAGGCCCCTGAAATTGACCGCTCTGTCTGCCAAATGCGATTCTGCCGCTTCTTTACTCTCCGCTGATTAGTCGACTCTTCCGACCCTTGGTGTGGAACGGCCTGAAGCGGGCCTGGCGGGATACGACAGCTGAGTCAGACATGTACAATTCTGGAGGTCCGTCGGATTGCCCATGGCCCCATGCACCAGGGTAATTCATCAGGAATACATTACGTTTTATTACAGACCACTTGCCGTCATGTCAGGTCTCACTGTCTCAGGCACCGCCGCACCAATACTCAATACTCATTACTGTCAGATGTTAATACATATTACTTTAATACTTACACCTTGCCGCCAGCGTTTATTCCACAAACTTACACCAGCTGCTCATAGACATGTTCCAACATCAATATTGCGCATAGGTTCCTCCAGCTGTAGCCTGTACGCAGCGGGTACTGTGTATTTGTGGAATCAAAATTTAGCTCTTGGTTGCAGTTGCAGACCTTTGTGCAACAATAAGCTTTCTCTTTGGAATTGGACGTCGGAGACCCACGGGCACCACGGCGGTAGGTAGGTTCTGATTGAATACAGCCCTTCCCCCGACAATTACATATCTTCGACGCCGCACCTCCACTAACCTCAGTAACCTGTAGTTACGCAGATTCCCCCACGCGCCAAACAGGAAGGACAATGGAAACTTGAAAGAAGTAACTCAGGGTTCATGGGGCAAATTTCACTGATGTGAGAAACCAAAAAAATGTAGCCGAGCCTGCCAGCCGAAGAAGCTTGACAATGGGCTCGAAGGTGGATAGATGGATACGTTTGGAGGCTATGAAGGGATTCTGTTGCGCTGGACATGATCACTCGGTGGAGCCTTCCCATCTTTTGAGATGTCATGACAAAGATGAACACGGCTTGGAAGGCAGTGCTTCGGCAGATGTTGTATCACTATCCATTCCACACACTTACCGTGATACCACAAATCGAGAGGTTAATGCCGATGAAGTTCTGCGCAGGCGAGCTGAACCACCCCGTGGATTTCATGTACGCGATAACATCACGCATGACGAGGCACCACCCAAGTTTTGGGATCATCCAACCAGGAGAGATATGACTGGGACCCTACGCGACGGGCCAAGCAGATGCGGAGAAGTCTTCCGCGCTTTTGGCGCTTCGAAAATGTTAGCATCTTCCGAGGCCCGTGAGCGCCATCTCCCATGGTCAAGCACGAGGAGAGAAGGGTAATGAGAGATGTGGAATGTCTCAGCTTGAACCTCAAGTGCCTCTACGCGCCGGGGAAGAACCCACTTGATCTTAGCGCACCGGATCACCCCGTAGCCCACTCCATCCATGATTCTTTGTTGACTTGTACATTGGCAATGTCATGGATCTAGTAAATATGGAGAGAATCATAATCATAAGCTCCCACATAGGCAACACGCGGTAGGTTTCGGACATACTACTGTCTTCATCGGATGAGCCGAGTGGGTCCTTGATCTGATCCTCCGTATGGAAAGGGGTAGGCCTGTAGAGGATCAGGAGCTGATCGGAGCACTACTGGGAGTAGGATCACCTTCCACATACACGTGCTAAGCGACATCCCTGACGAATGTCGATATCAGATTAGAGCGGGGGCGCATCATACACTTATTGGCTAGGAGCGCGTAGTAGGGAGTCTAGGGACGGATGAGATCAATCATTAGCACCTTCCAGGATCATCGGGGAGTTTCGAATCGTCGTTCAGATCTCAAAAGGATCAGATTCATTCTCAGCATGGACCAGATAGCCTTGACCACGGGCTGATGACGGCAGTTGCATCGCAGATCTTGACCTCGTGGGCCGCAGCAGACAAGGGCCCCACCTGGTCAATTCACCCGAAGCGTCTCACTCTCCGCAGCCGATGATGATGATCATGTGATCGACATCTCCTGTGAGTTGAGGTAGCATTGGCCAAGCCCAGTGTGTTTGGGAGGCTAGTGGTGTGTCCATCCGATCGTGGCTGACAAGAAGTAAGGATCCATGGTCCTCGTAACAAAGACAGTAACTAAATGAAAGGGTCGATGATGGAGATGGAGACGCGTCTTCCAACCCGCTCTGGTTCCTTGTGCGAGAGAACGGAACCGTTGATCCCAATCACATATCCAGCCACGTTCATTGATGGTGATGACATATATTTAGAGCTACCCAGTAGACCTGTTAGGAGAGGGACCTAATAATCTAGAAGACAGCGTGTCGAGCGAATGAGAATAAGCGACCACCGGAAGTGATACACTGGTCGATGCCAGCGCCCGCTTCGCTCCCTCCGTTGCAACGTGAATGCTCAAGGCTGTGAGGAGAGTCGTGTTCCATCTTGGCAGACGAGAGGTCCTTGAGTGCACGAGTCGGACGGCAGAATGCCCCCAGTCACGTTCCTCCGAGTCTGACCGACTGGCGAGCCGTACTCCCTTCCCGAATGAGCAGACTACGACTACGCTCGGGCTCCACTTCTCTTCCGCCTCCCCCTGAATGAACTCAAACTCTGGAGCCGATCACCGTCTTGACAGATGTTCAACCCCTGGCAATGGCTCGGATGACCCAGATGACGCAGGCACAATGCAGAGAGACAATTACACACGAGAGAGAGAGAGAGAGAGAGAGAGAGAGAGAGAGAGAGAGAGAGAGAGAGAGAGAGACAGAGAACAAGAGTCTCTGACGATTGTTACACAGGGCGGCATATTCAAGACTCACGGAGACAACCAGAGAGTGTGTGACTGTGTGCCTCTCGTTCTACTCCGTCCCAGCGCCATGGGAGACGATGGATCAGGTCGTAGCCACCAAATGCAAGAGGTTCCCCTTAACTCAGACCGCTTATTGCTTGAACATGGTCCATAACCATCCTTCTCCCGCGACCGAGCATCTTCATGGATGAAACCAACTCTACGGTCTCGATGTTGATGCCTGGGCAACAAGCGCACCGGGCATTGGCCAACCCCTGAACCGTAAAACTTCTCTCCATGGCCTCGACGGACGAATCCCGCATCCGCACTGGAGACGCTACGCGCTAGCGGCGCTGCACGGGGCCCGGGCGCTTTCTCAATGGAGCTTCGCGTGGATTGAACTTTGGGGCGATGGACCCGTGAGACATGCCCGCAATCGACCTCGATGGAGAATTCCGACATGCGGCCTGGTGGCCCTACATATGGTCGAAGGAACCTTGAGAGGCCCGGGGGTCGATCCTCAGATGTGCGATTCTTGATCCATTCTGGAATTCGTTACTCCAGCACTCCTCTCCTCCTTCTCTTCCCCCACGAACGGCCATTGTTTGCCATAGCCCCCCCCGAGTCTGACACATCAATCCCCTGTGCAACTGGAGACGTGCGGGTCACCAATCGGTCAAATCACAAATTCATCGAGGATTGTGATCTCTGGTGATCGAGGGAGAAGGGGCACTTGGGTCCAGAGAAACAAGGGCACATCAGCCCTAAGCCCAATACAAATGACATCCTCCACAGTCCAGATCCTCTGAATCACCAACAGAAATGACGTCCATGGACCTGGGCTTTTTGCCCAAGATCAAATGTTCGAATTGCGGGCAGAATGTCGAGATTTCGGCCATGGGAGACCATGTGTGCACCCCGAGTGAGCAGAAGACACCCGCGACGGCAATGGGATCACTCCCATCCAACATGATCAGCCCAAAGACTTCCAATGCCACATCAGATGCGACCAGAATCCCTTCTCCTCCACCGTCGGCAGGCCTGGACACTCCCGATCACTTGAAGGTGGTTATTGGTGGTCGATCAAGTCGATCGGGAGCACCCCCTCGCATCGACCCGTCGATCGCCAGTACGTCTCGATATAGATGCTTGATGACTGCAGTATGCGGTCTGTATTGACGGAGACTGACTGACTGTTTCGGTTTAGATCGCCCTTTCCTTCAACCGACTGTCACTACGCCAGCTAGTAGTACTGGTTCGCATCTTCCCTCGCCGCTTTCAATTCATGCCGCGCCTCGATCACCCATGTCTCAGTCAGTGGAATCAACTCCTCGCTCGTCTCCCGAGGATGAGCCCATGCTGGACCAGGACACGGTCTTCTCCTTTCCAATGCCCGGCAGTCGCCCTCCGGCTCTTGTGGGAACACCTTCCTTGAAGAACGATCTTTCGCTCCGGACTTCAGCTCGAATCGCCTCGGCTCCGTCCCCGCGACCAGGACTTAATGTGGTTCCCGAAAACGTGCAGCTTCCCCCGAGCCCGCTGCCCCCTCAGGCGGAATTGGGTCCACAGGACCACGGTCGGGGTGAATCTATTGCGAGTC